ATATATATATATATATATATATATATATATATATATATATATATATTGGAGATCAGTCCTCTGTCTGATGTGGGGTTGGTGAAGATCTTTTCCAATTCTGTAGGATGCTGTTGTGTCTTATTGACTGTGTCCTTTGCCTTACAGAAGCTTCTCAGCACTCTTGGATTCTAATGAAACTTTACAAAAAGCATTTGATAGGCATTGTTACTTGTGCTTTGTTCTTTCTGTAAGCTCATTGTAGAGGCTCACTACAATTCTATAATTTAATGCCAAGTTAATAAATATAATTTTACAAATTTGACTATTAGTGACTTTTCTTTCTACAAAACTCTTGATTTCTTTAGAGAAATATTACTGTTCTTTTCATAGTATTCCAGGTAAAATGAAAAGGAAATCAAAGTGTAAAGTCCACTTAAGTCACTTATTATTGACTTATTATAGAACAACCAGCTCATCTGGTTACAGAGTAAGACTAGGAGTTTTGCCAAACCCTGAGAAATACAAGAAGGGAATTTACACATTACCTAGTACTGCAAAATCACCACCACCACCATCACCACCATCACCACCATCACCACCACCATCATGGAAAGATGCAATAAAACTAGCCTTTGTACCAGGCTGGGGAATTCATAGATAAATGTATAATCCAACTGACCTCTAATGTTTATCAAGTTCTTATCTCCAGCTATGTTGAGTTCACCACCAAGCTCTCTCTAGTTTCTCTCATTCCAAGGCAGGCCTTAGTCTTGATACTGTGTTTAGCAATCCACTCATCATGTACAATTTTAATGTAACTTCAGGAGTTAGAGTTCATGCGCCTGATAAATGTTTATGAATGTTTTCCTAGTTGACATTTCCCATGAAAGTCTGGTGTAGTCAATAAACTTTTGGAAAGGCTAGGCTGGTCACATTCTGCTATAGGAATTCTGAGACTTTAACAGGGATTTATACACTATTTGCTCATGATACAAAAAGATTCCAGGTGGACAAATTCAGTTTCCAATATAAAGATGGGAATACTGCATCCTGTGTCACTAGAAGCTTCAAAAACGGAATGATTCCTTAAAGGCCATTTGTGATCGAACTTTTCCTGGTAGCCATGGCCTAGCTTTCTTTGTTTCCAGGTTCAGTGGGCTTTCTTTGTGATGAGTCAGCTGCTTAACAAGGGACCGGTGTAGAAAAGAAAAAAAATGTATCTACGTTCTTAAGGCTGAGGATTTGGTTAGAACAGACATTTTTGAAGTTTGTTGGTGATGTGTGAAGTTCATCTTGCAAACAAGGTGCTTTTCATGTATTCCTAACATGCTGTTGCTTTAAATTTAACAGAAACATAGTTATGATAAGAGCATTTTCATCAAAAAAGAGAAACTAGTGAATAGTAATGAAAACAGAGTTCATAAGGAATTCATAAAAGAATATTAACTTTACTGTTGGAACAGCGAAGACTGAGCATCAATAAGGAATTATCTATATTTGTTTGCAGTAGCTAAATTGATTTATTGAAATCCAGTATTGGTAAGGATTGGAGAAAGAGATCCTTTCATATCTTAATAGTTGGGGTATAAATTAATATTATTACACCTAACTATAAAGTCAGAGTTTTATATGATAATGTCAATATTTACAAGTTGACTTTCTTTTTAAAGAGATAGCAATAAAACACAATAAGGTAAAACAAAAACACTAGGGTTGGACAAGACAAACAAACAGAAGGAAAAGGGTCAAGAGGAAGCACAAGAAGTAGAGAGTCACTCGTTCACACTCAGGAGTCCCATAAAGACACTGGACTGGAAGCCCTAATATATGTGCAGAAGACGTGGTACAGACCTGTGGAGGCCCCAAGCTTGCTGCTTCAGTCTCTGTGAGTTCATACAAGCTTTGATCATGTTGATTTAGAGGGCCTTGTGTTCTTGGTGTTGTCCATCCTCTCTGGCTCTGACACTCTGCTTCTGCTTCTGTGGGGTTCTCTGAGCCCTGAGTGGAGGGCTTTCATATCACCAATTTGTCTCTGTAGGATCAGTGGACAAGGCTGATCATTGACAACTGTCTTTCAAACAATGCTATTTTTACACATTTAACCTTTACACAGCATTTAAAGAAAGTAGCCTGTAGCCCTGGGCTGAACCCCCATAGTCCAGCTGGAGAGTGGGAGGAATGAGAAGATGAGCAAAGAGATCAAGATCGTGATGGGGACACCCACTGAAATAGTTTACCTGAGCTAATAGGAGATCACCAACTCCGTCAGACAGGGAAGGAACCAGCATAGGACTAAACTAGTCCCTCAGAATGTGAGTGACAATTGTATGGCTGGGGCAGACTGAGGGGCCACTGGCAGTGGCACCAGGATTTATCCCTACTGCTTGTACTGGCTTTTTGGATGGATACCTTGCTCAGGCTAGATATAGTAGGGAGGGCCTTGGACCTTCCCCAGAGCAATGTGCCTTACCCTCTCTGAGGAGTGGATGGGGGTGGAGTGGGGGTGGGGTGAAAATGGAAGGGATGGCATGAGGGGAGGGAGTAGGAACTGGGATTGGTATGTAAAATGAAAAAAAAAGATAGTTTGTTTTCTTTTTTAAAAAAATAAGAAAGAAAGGAAAGAAGGAAGGAGAGAGAGAGAAAGAGAGAGAAAGAAAGAAAGAAAGAAAGAAAGAAAGAAAGAAAGAAAGAAAGAAAGAAAGAGGCCTTTCCCAGATTAAAGGGAGCCTTAAGCACGCTTCCTGGGGGAAAATTAAAGAGATTGTTCAGATAAGAGCAGAAAGTTTAAAAAAAAAAGTATATTCTTATTGCTATGCAATTGTGGGTTAAATAGAGGAACAATGGGAAGACCCACTAAAAGTTGATGCACTGTGTCAGAGATTATCTGACAGGCCAGGACGACTTAGTAGCTTGACATTGGAGTCTGGCAGACCTGGGCTTGAGTTGTCACTCTACCCTCTTGAGCTTCCAGAGAGCATGTGGGTGACTCAACCTCTTAACATCTACAAGCTACAGCTTCTCGTCTATAAAATGTAGCTAAGGATTCAACTTAATCCATCATAATGCTTGAAGAATGAAACAGGCTAATACCCTTTAGTGTTAGCCCAAAGGCCCACATACTGTACGTGTACAATAAATCTAGAGCCATGTAATGCTGTAGAGAGGGTGCATGATGATACACACATGGGCATTGTAGCACCTACACTATGGGACAGTATGCAAGCCGGGAACTAAGCTGGAGACTTAAAAACACAGGCACACACAGACAGAGACACGGACACAGGTCATCCTTGATACAAGAATGCCAAGTTTATTGTGCTCCAAGGAAGCTTATATAGGGGTCCTTAATGGATAGCTACGCCCCAGCTCTCAGGGCCTTTCAGCTGCAGGCCTCCTCAGAACCTGCTCCCCTGCCATCAAGGTCTCATGCTCAGAGCAGCTGCAGGCACAGGTGTTTTGCTCAGGTCATGCCAGCAGGAAAGGGTCTGAGGCAGGCAAAGAAGTCAAGGGGCCAGGGGTCTGCAGCTCCCAACAAGGCATATTTATCTAAGATAACTTTAGAAGAAGGTCCATTCACAATGGTTAAGTGGTTACTTCTGGGTAGTGGGACTTGGCTCAATATTACTTAAAAACAAAACAAAACTAAACAAAAAACCAGAAATCTTTTGTAGGATTTGGAGAGATTGCTCAGTGATTAAGAGCACTCACTTGTTACCTTTCAGAGGACCTGAGTTTAATTCCAAGTACTCAGGTTAGGGAGTTCACACTGTTTGTATTCCAGGAGTCTGATGAACCATTTCTGGCCTCTGCAGGCACCTACACACAGGGCACTCTATCCCTCCCCATCTCCCTCTTCCTTCTCCTCCCCCCTCTGTCTGCCTGTCTGTCTCTGTCTCTGTCTCTGTCTCTGTCTCTGTCTCTGTCTGTCTGTCTCTCTCTCTCTCTCTCACACACACACACACATACACCAATTTCTACAGTGTCTAACCTTCCTTCATAGCAATCATTCTGTATTTATCACAAAACATAGAAGCAAATTCTTCAGGAGTAAAAATGGCTATGATTTAAGACATTGTAGAGAGGTATGTTTCAAAGAAAATAATGACCTCAATCACCTTTCTTCAATTTTTGTTCTTTAAAAAACTAAACTTTAAGTACACAATTGGATTAGTCATAACGTAGTTACAGCAGGAAATGGCAGACTTTATTTACTCTTGTTCTGAGCACAAATTGTGATTGTATTTCCCAGGCATACCCATATTGCCCATTCTTCCCTTCTATCCTTATTTCTAGATGGCACCAGATAAGTGCTTCTCACTAATACAGTGCTATCAAAGAATACATCTTCCTGGTGATTAATATGTGTGTCTTTTCTCTGCGACCTTGTCCTTTCAGGCACCAAGAGATACCATTAACTAAGAGCAGAAGCAGCCCAGCTTCCTGGGCCACTTTTTGTAGGAGAGCCTCCAAGGCGGACAACTGATTAGGAGTCCTTGCATCAATTTTTGTGTCAGTCTAAACTGAATTATACCGTTCTATATACATCATCACCATTGGTGTATATGTGACCTTCTTTATTTATTATTCAATTAATTACATTGCACAAAGTGCCACTGATTAATATTACTTCAATCAGAGCCCTTGAACACTCAAAACATTTTACTGTGTTTCAAGTTTAGAACTAGAGGCAGAAATTTTTAATCTTGTAACACATGAATATTTGGCTTTATATGACAATGATGGACTTCTCTTCAACTAGATTATCAGTTTCTTGTTTCCCAGTCGGTTATGAAAGCATACATCAATTTCTAATATCCTAAGTGATATGCTGCTCTTTACCTTTGGCATCATAGTGCTATTATAATGGTTATTAATTTTTGCCACTTGCATAGGAAAATATGGGGGTCACACTGTTACGTTGATTTCCATTTGTGTGACTGCTACTGATAAGACGCTTGGTCGGTTTGATGCTCCCTTTGGCCTAGATGTCTACTGTCTTACTTGTCACTTAGTTCTTCTGTGCCAGTGACTCTACTGTTTGATTTGGCAAATGCACAGTGAAGAATCATACTGAGAGCTTAAGAAATTCCATTTTAATATGTTAAGGAAGAGTACAGTCATCAGTCACATTGTCTATGTTTTTATTAAAAATGTGTAAAACCACAGCACAATCTTCACACTTTATTTCCATTCTTATTACTTTTTTATTTAAATTGAAAGACACAGTTGCATGTACTTGTCATATGCAATGTGGTTTTGAAGTATATATACTTTTTAGAAGTAATTAAGAGATGTATTATCTCACAGTTATTTTTAAGTGGCAGTTCTTTACAGTCACTCTTAGGATCATTCAAGAATATAATAAATTGTTACTGTACTCAGCACAATGTACAATAGATTCCATAAAATCATTTCTCCTGTCAACTGCTGTTGGGTGTTCTATGACTAGTGTCACTCCAGTCCTTCTCAGTCCTTGCTAACCATCACTCTACTCTGTTTCTATAAGGTCAGCGCTTTTATATCTGACATGTAAGTGAAGTCATAGAGCATTTTTGTCTTCCTGTGCTTGGCTTATGTGACTTAACATAATACATTCTAAGAGGTTCACTTACCACATTTTCTGGATCCATTCGTGCACTGATAGACACTGAAGTTGATTCCGTGTCTTGACTATTGCCAAGAAAGGCAAAATGGATGTCGACACGCAGATGCCCCTGTCACATACAGTTTTCTTTCTTTCAAAAGCCGTGGGATTGCGGGGTCACACAGTAGCTTTATTAAGTTTTCCAAGTCCCCCTACACTGTTCTCCACAGTGGTTATGATAACCACCATTCTCATTAATGGCACACGAGACTGTCTTAAGTGAGTCTAAGATGACCCCCACATGTTTGTATTTAGGAATTGGGACAAAGCAATAATTAGTCCAGGTCAAGGAGAAGAAGCAGTTTAAATGGCAAATGTGTTCAGAATTTGAAGACCAACGGTAGAATTGTGAAATTAGTTTAAAGGGCTTTCTGAAAGCACAGAGTGGAGTTTGTTTAAGAGATTGAATGCCATTAATGAAACATTTTTTAGACATGAACTTATGATGTTAATGGAAATATAAATTTATTTTCATGTCTCTACTATTAGTGACAAAACCTTTCATTTTACATATTCCCTAAATGTATTTTATTGATAGCTTCATAAAATAAGAAATAAAATCGAAATGGATTAGCAGAAAGTTTGGTTAACTCAAATTCTACTGGAGACACTGCAAATTAAAGCTTCATTCTGGAAAGATTGTACAGAGAAAACAGTAACTTTAAATACAATGACATGATTTCACCAAGTATTCATCTTCTAAATTATTAAAGGATCAGACCAGATTACAGTACTGAAAAAACAACCTTATACATAAGATTTATGTAGCAATCAGAGTGTTAAACGTTATGTGTGGAGACTTTTGCAAAGTAGAAAAGTGAAGATGGAAGAAACATGAGAAGTTATTGAAATTGATGTTAAAACAGCATCATAATGATCATAATTGTATGTTGTGGAATCTTATTTTAACTAGGCAAAGATGTGTTAAGTTTGTTTATACTGTGGAATATTACTTTATTTGAAAGTGTGTTACATTTGTTTCTGCTGCCTTTGTTTTTTTATAATTTTTATTTTTATTTGTTTTTTTAAATTGTTTTTATTCAGCTATATATTTTTTTCCATTCCCCTCCCCTCCTACCTTCTCTCATGGTCCCCATGCTCCCAATTTACTCAGGAGATCTTGTCTTTTTCTACTTCCCATGTAGATTAGATCTATGTATGTCTCTCTTAGGGTCCTCATTGTTGTCAAGCTTCTCTGGGATTGTGAATTTATAGGCTGCCTTTTCTATTTTCTTTTTGTCTAAAAGTCAATTGTGAGTACTGTAACTCTGTAGTAAAGTTTGAAGTCAGGGATTGTGATGCTCCCAGAAGCTCTTTTATTGTAAAGGATTGTTTTGACTATCCTGTTTTTTTTTTTTCTTTTCCATATGAAGTTTAATACCACTCTTTCGAGGTCTGTGAAGAATTTTGCTGGGTATTGTACTAAATCTGTATATAGATTTTGGTAAGATTGCCATTTTTACTATGTTAATTGTACCTACCCAAGAGCATGAGAGATCTTTTCACTTTCTGGTGTCTTCTTCAATTTTTTCTTCAAAGATATAAAGTTCTTGTCATACAGGTCTTCCACTTGTTTGGTTAGAGCTACTCAAAGATATTTTATGTTATTTGTAGCTATGGCCAAGGATGATGGTTCTCTGACTTCTTTCTCAGCCCATTTATCATCTGTGTGAACAAGGGTGTCGCTAGCACTACTGAGTGGGCCTTCTGGCCTTACTTGGAGGTCTGCAAGTAAATGACACTCAGGATTGCAGTTCTCTGCTTTGTCCAAGCTAAGTTTATTGTATAGGCACTTCAAGATCTTACAATCATTCTGGCACAGCCAATAAGCGAGTATCACTATCACAAACAAAAATGTAATATCACACAAGTACATACTCACTTCCACTTCAGTCCTATCACACCAAGGTGACATTCCTCAGCCAGTATATATTTCTAAATCCTAGGCAAGGCATTACTATATTCTATCTAATAAGGCATTGGGGTATACGACCTGATGGTGGTTTGTGGCTCGCAACGTAGATCTCTGGATCAGCAAGTCTTGACCCGCAGGCAAGAGCTAGTTCTCTGGCTCTTGGAAGATCTCTGATTCAGTGTCTCATTGATTGATTGATTGATTGATTGATTCTCGATGCTGTAGAGGTTCTCCGGCGCCTCTCCGACAGAGTCTCTAGCAGATCATCTTGAGAATGTCTTCTGGTCGTTTCTGCCCCATATTTATACTACTCTTCAGCATTACCTCACTCTTGTTTTCGTCAGACTTTTGATTAGCACTCCTGTCTGCCTATCTATATTACTACGTCACTCTTATCATCACTGCACACATTTCTACTAGTGTCGTTTCTCCTGGACTTGTCCTAGACTTGTCCTTCAGACTCATCACAAAGGGCTATGGATTTTTTTTGTGTGTGTATTAATCTTGTATCCTCTTACATTACTGAAGGTGTTTATGAGTTACAGACATTCCTTGGTAGAGTTTTTGGGGTCCCTTATGTAAACTATCATATCATCAGCAAATAATGAGAATTTGACTTTTTCTTTTTCAATTTGTATCCCCTTCATCTCTCTCTCTCTCTTTTTTTGTCTTATTGCTCTAGCTAGAAACTCAAGTACTATATTGAATACACATGGAGAGAGTGGACAACCTTGTCTTCTTGTTCCTGATTTCAGTGGGATCGCTTTGAGTTTCTCTCCATTTAGTCTGATGTTGGTTATTGGCTTGCTGTATATTGTCTTTATCGTGGTTAGGTATATTCCTTATATCCCTGCTGTCTCCAAGACCTTTATCATGAAGGAATGATGCGTTTTGTCAAAGGCTTCTTCAGCAATTAATGAGAAGATTGTTGGGTTTTTTTTCAGTTTGTTTATATGATGGATTACATTGACAGATTTTCATATGTTGAACCACCTCTGCATCTCTGGGATGACCTGATCATGGTGGATAATTTTTCTGAAGTGTTCTTGGATTCGGTTTGTCAGTATTATATTGAGTATTTTTGCATCAATGTTCATGAGTGAGATTTGTCTGCTATTCTCTTTCTTAGTAATGTCTTTGTAGTTTGGGTATCAGGGTAATTGTAGCCTCATCAAAAGAGTTTGGCAATGTTTCTTCTGTTTCTATTGTGTGGAACAATTTGAGGAGTATAGGTATTAGTTCTTCTTTGAAAATCTTGTAGAATTCTGTGCTGAAACCATCTAGCCCTGTTTTTTTTTGTGTGTTGGGAGACTTTTGATGACTGTTTCTATTTCTTTAGCAGTTATAGGTCTATTTAATTTGCTTATTTGGTCTTGATTTAATTTTAGTAAGTGATATTTATCCAGAAAATTGTCTATTTCCTTTAAATTTTCCAATTTTGTGGAGTATAGGTTTTTGAAATATGACCTAATTGTTCTCTGAATTTCCTCCATGTCTATTGTTATGTCTCTCTTTTCATTTCTGATTTTGTTAATTTGGATATTCTCTCTTTGCCTTTTGGTTATTTTGCATAAATGTTTATCTATTTTGTTGATTTTCTCGAAGAACCAACTCTTGGTCTCATTGTTTCTTTGTATTATTTTCTTTGCTTCTGTTTTGACGATTTTTGCTCTCAGCTCTCAACTCGATTATTTCCTGCCAGCTACTTTTCCTGGGTTCTGTGGCCTTTGTTAATGATGTAAAGATGTGTTACATTTGTTTGTGCTGCATTTGTTTTAATTATGTAATAATGTGCTGTCTTTATTTCACCTTGTCTGCCTAAGGCACCTCATTGTTCTTATAAAGAGCTGAAGGGCTAAGAGTAGGCAGAAGAAGGATGGGCAGGGCTGACAGGCAGAAAGGGAAGTAGAAGAAATCTAGGCTTGGGGAGAAAAAAGGAGAAAAGGAGAGAAAGAGGGAGGAAGAGAGGGGCACTCCTGTAGGGCCTGGGTCTGCCCCTGCTCTTGGGGTGCATCTTGAGGACAGGTTCTGGTCAGCCAGTTAAAACATTCTGTTTGTTCCTGTGCTCCCTCTGCCCAGCCTGGTGATTAGCTGTAGGGCATTGTTTACTCCATCTTTGATGTGGTAATTTCCCACCTGCGGGGGTGGGGGGGTGAGGGGGGTGGGGGGGAGGGGCGGGGTGCAGCAGCTGAGGTGCCTGAGGATTTCCCCAAGGTTACATAAAGGGCATTCCGCTGATCTCCTTTAGAATGACAAAGGTCTCTTGTGTGTTCTTTCCATCTCCAGGCCCTTGCCTGGCTAGCCGGCAGTACGGTGACACGCAAATTGTACCAAGAGGGTAACACAGAATAGTGTGTTACATACCCCCAGAGCCAGAAGCCAGGCAACCACCAGTCAGACATGAGAAGCAGTGAATGTTAGATATACAGAAGGAAAGACAGGTTAAGAAGCCCCAAAGAAAACATAGATGAAGAGGAACAGGTTAAGTTATAAGAGCTACTGAGACAAGCATAAGATAAAGCTGAGAATACATAGCTAATAAGAAGTCTCCTTGTCATGATTTGGGAGCTGGTTGGTGGCCCAAAAGGAAAAAGGCTGCTACAATTTTGTGAACATATGAATACAAATAAAAGGAAAGCTATTGGAATTTTAATTTTATTTTTTATCTGTAGGTGCATCTACTCACACACCTGTGTTCAAGTACTCATGGAGGTCAGAAGAGGACATCCGATTCCCTGGAGCTGGAATTACACGTGGTTGTGGACCACACGACTTGGGTGCTGGGAGTGAAACTCTCTGTTAAAAATGCTGCAAGATTCCTGGAGGCAGTAGGCAGGAGGCCCACAGAGCAGTTACTCCCAGAGACGGCAGCCCAGCCGGGTCCCTGAGTGGTGGGCTGGTCCCAGACAGGGAGATGCATGGCGGGCGGGCTGGTCCTAGCGAGCTGGGGGTGTGAGCAGGCGGCAGGTAGATGGCACATGGATAGACACATCGTACAGAATGGAACTGGATATTTATTACGGGGGGGGGGGGGGGAAGAAGAGGAGAGAGACAAAGAAGGGAGCAGGAGAGAGGGAGCGAGTGTGCGCAAAAGGGAACAGTGAGAGTCAAGATGGCGAGAGGAGGGCAGAGGGCGCCGGGAGTGGGCGTGGCTTGTCTCTTTTTTATTTTTTATTTATTTTTTAATTAATTAATTTATTTATTAAAAATTTCCACCTTTTCCCCGCTTCTCTTTCCCCTCCCCCTTCCCACCTCCCCCTCCCTCTCTAGTCTTAAGAGCAGTCAGGGTTCCCTGCCCCGTGGGAAGTCCAAGGTCCTCCCCCCTCCATGCAGGTCTATAAAGGTGAGCATCCAAACAAACCAGGCTCCCACAAAGTCAGTCCATGGAGTAGAATAAAAACCCAGTGCCATTGTCCTTGGCTTCTCAGTCAGCCTTCATTGCCAGCCACATTCAGAGTGTCCATTTTGATCACATGCTCCATCACTCCCAGCGTGGCTTGTCTCTTAAAGTGACAATTAACCATAACACGCTCATCTTTTGAAAGAGCAGCAAGTACACTTACGCAGAGATCCATCCCTTCAGCCCCCTTGAAAGTGCTAGTATTCTCTCACGTTCTTTAAAATAAAACTGTAAAACGAGTTTTCAATAAGCTTAAATATATTTGTATGTGTTTCCCCCAAACAGCAAACATGCATAGAGACATGTCATAAACACTTATTTAAATGTTCCTCCTCCAGTAGTTCGAAGTTGAAGAAATGGGGGTAAACTGAGTCAGGGCAGAGGAGAAGAATGAGGAGAAAAGGCAGGTGAATCCAGGGTAGCTGCAGTGTTCTTTTGCTTTCCTGGGGAGTCAGGCAGGGCACCGGGAGCTGCTGATCTGTGGTTGGAGAAGCTTTCTGTCACCGGAGGCAGGTGGGCTGGACCACAGTGACCACACCACCTCATTTCCTTTTCCCTGTTATCACACTGAGCCGTGTCACTGGCTAGCCTTTGGGACGGAAGATCTGACTTTAGACCCACCACCGCTGTGAAAGATACAAGAACATTTCGTCTCATGCACACATTTGTCACATTAACCACATGGGGG